TTGGAAAGTGGCGGCCGTCAGATCTCTTGCCTATACAGTAGCCGCCCCAGAAGGAAGAAGCCAAGTAGGATACGCCAAGCCTGTGAAAGTGCAGGTGGCGTTCAGGTGAAGCTGTGACTGAGTTGGTATCAAGCGAAAATTGCGCATGTCTGGCGGCCGCTTTCGAGATATTAAAGGGTTGTTACTGGTTGTTGGGCAGCACGCGTGGGATCTATTTTGCGGAAGCAGTGCAGAAGTTGTCAGGGCTGCGTTTGGAACGTGATATCCTTGATGCCACTTCGTTAAAGCAATGCGGAAGGGCGACTGGCGCACGCATTTGGCAGCAGCAGGCTCAGCAACCTCTAGAGCTCTGCCTGCGCAGAGAATCAGCTGTCTTTTAACGGATGGCGGTTGCAAGGCCTGCCTTGGCCCCAAACAAGTTTTGCCAGCTATCTTTGAGAATTTGACCTACGATCAGACCAGTTCGCAGGCTCACGATGTTGTTTAGCGTTATTTTCCTACGCAAGAGCTAATCGGTTGGAGTTCGGTTGGGGGCTCGCGACTGCCAGAATGTGTTCAAGAAACATGACGGCACCTACACATGACCAGCGTTCTTGTCATGAGCGCACCCGCTGTTCACTTGGCCTTAGCTTCTATTTCACCTACAACGGCCTTGGCGCTGACCAGTGATCATGTTTACGCCGCGACTCACTCTCACTTGCACCCTCGGCTTGCAATTATGCGTTGTCGCAATGAACTGTTTGGGCTCGCCTTCTGTGCAACTACGCTGACTACGTAGGCAGAAGCAACTTTCTATTCAGCTTAACAACTGCGCCGCAGGTTTAGCAGCTACACAAGTAGCAACCCTTACTTATTTCGAAAAACTGGACTATTGGACGGCCCTCACATGTCAAGCCAGGAGCGGCCGCCAGACATGCGCAATTTTCGCTTGATACCAACTCAGTCACAGCTTCACCTGAACGCCACCTGCACTTTCACAGGCTTGGCGTATCCTACTTGGCTTCTTCCTTCTGGGGCGGCTACTGTGTAGGCAAGAGATCTGACGGCCGCCACTTTCCAAGCAAAGACTGGCGTGCCGCACCAGTCAAACTTGCTGCCCTGGCGAACGCAGTGAGCTGCCCTTGCCGCAGCAAAGGAAATCCCATCGATGAGTTTTACCGCCTCGCTGAACCGGATCGTGCCCACAATCTGCGCCCCTTTTGGTCGGGGAGGGACGTGAAAGCCCTCCGGGATGCAAGCAGAGTAGCTCGCCGTGGATGCACCTCCGCGCGTTTCCACCAGCCACATCTCCTCATTCGCATGCGCGATGTTGAGGTGGCCCAAGGCATAGCCCCGCACCTCCTGTGTCTTGTAGCCCGCCAACAGCAGCTGGGAGAAGGGCCACTGAACATGTAGCCCGCGCAAGCTCACCTCTTGGGTCTGGGCGGGCTTGCGGCGCTGCCGCAGCTTCCTCTGCTTCTGCTTGGTGAAGACAGCGCGCTTCACTTTCTGCTGAGCCCTCTCGCACCCGCGCTTCCGCGCCATCTCCTCTCGCCTGGCAGCCTCCTTCACCCAGGCAGACTTGCGAGTGGTTGCAAAGGCCCTCATCCTTGCCACCTTCGCCTTGTCCAGAAAGTGCACGGGTCGCCTCAGCTCCTGACGTGAAGTCACCGGCGCCATCGCCACCCCCGCTGCGCCAGCAAACTCTCCGCTCATGATATACCCCAGCATAGAGCCTGATCAGCTCGGCCTGAGTCCTTTGAGCGACTGTGGGGTGGTACGATGCCGAGTTGTGCGCCCACATTTTGCCCAAGCAGAACGCCTCCAGCTTCAATTGTCGAGGAGTCCACATGCTGTTGGGTGACTGTTTGCTGGGAGCGGTTGAACTGGAAGTGCACAGCTTCGTTAGCAGTCGTGCCCCACGATAAGCAAGCATCTGCCGATCTTGCAGGCTCAGCGCTGCAGTGGCTCGGCTTCCGTTGAGTAGGTAGGCGTAGTGCTGGTAGGCTGCTCAGACTGAAGAATCTGAAACACTGTCCTGCCCTTGCTTATCTTTTCGACCCATGTCAGTGGCGAAGCGGACGGTCACGCTTGCCAAGTCATCAATGTAGTCCTGGTGTGACGCATAGGGCTCCTGCACGTATGCGTTCCACTCTCTGCCTCGAGCCTTCATGTTGTCCGCCTTTGCTTGGCTTTCCCTTCCTCCAGCGGCGAAGCACCTCTGTGAAGGCACCTCTGGCAGGCACCATGAAGGCACCATCGAACTGCAAGGCAAATGATCTCACGTGAGAGGGCTGCTGTGCTTCTCAGACGAAGCACGCCTCCACCCGCAGTGGCAAGATGCAGACCGTCCTCTGCCATGCCTTGTTAGGTTTGGGAAGAGCTCCCTGACATGGTCAATGGCAGCAGGAGAGTCCACTGAAAATCCACTCTGTTTGTGGAACGGGCTTCCGGTGGCAAAATTGCCTTGCACCGCGCGCTCAAAGCACGCCAAGCCCTCTGATGCCTGCGCGCTCAAGCCCGGAAGAGCCCCTGACTTTCCCCAGGATGCTGTGTAAAGCATGTGCTTCGTTTGGCTTCTGTGACATTTGGAACTTGACCAATGATGCTAAGGCCAAGCTCTTGAACGTGGATTTTGCGAGGACTTGCCAATCTCCGTGCTGGGTGGCCTCCGCGAGAAGCTGCCCTCTCAAAAGTCTGCACTGCATCACTGGAGAAAATCTCATCCAACAGCTGCTGCTGCGTACTCTGGCGCCGAAGGCCTAAAAAAGCACACGGGCTGCCTTTGGCGATGAAGGCAGAAACCAAATCCTGAAAGCTCGCCTGCACCCGGCCTTGATGCTTCAGAACCAACCCAAGCAACATGGCTGCAGCGGTGCTGTCGTAGTACACGTTTTGGTTGAGGCGTTTGCAATGAGAGGTTTGCTGCTTCAGGACATACTGTGGGCCCTCGCCCGTGAGCAGGAGCACCAAATCCACATCATTCTGCTTTTGAAGGAAGACCTGCGAGTCTTCGTCCGGACTCACCCATCTCCGGATAAGATCTGCAGAGTCCCTCAGCAAGCTTTCAGAGTGCCTCGGCTGCTGCAAGGGGGCCAAAATCTGGTCCTGCTCATACAGAGCTTGCACCGTGTTCCACTGAGCCTCGGTTCTGGTGTTGGCAGTGAACAATCGTGTCTGGACGTGGTACTTCGTAAGATGCGTCTGGAGTTGACGCCTTTCCGAAAATTGCCGAAAAGGACAGAAGGGGCACTTCGCAGTTGACCCACGCGCGTTGCCTGAGGAAGCAGCGGGCTCAAAAAAAACGCCTCGCAACTTGTTAAACTTGTTTGTCCTTCTTGAGAGGCCCCGCACCAAACAAAAAAAAACAAAATGTGCCCACATGCTGGGTGAGTTGCGCCGTCCCTCCTGCGCCAACTCATCTAGACGCTTGATTTCAGCAGAAACCTCCGCCCTCACCTTCTCAGCCACTGTGTCCAACACTCGCTCGGCAACGTCGGGCGCTTCGGCCCCGCTAAGCATGTCCAGCAGAGGGTTCGCCAGCTTGCGCTTGCGAAGTGAAAGTGAGGCCGACAACAACTTGGCTTCGAAGACGTGAGCACGTGGCAAGGCTGCCACGGAACGCCAGAAAGTGGCGGCGTCAATTTCCACTGCCTGCATAACGGAGTCACTGTGCACCCTGCACTTGCCAGCGTAACAGAGCACGCCGATGGCATGGCCCACCTCCCGCCCTGGCCGGGTCTCGTGCACGATGTAGTGGCTGCCATCGCCAGCTGCAGCAGAAGCAACGCTGACAGGCTCCAGGCTCAGCCCTGGGTGTAGTTCCATGCACTGTCTGAAGCTAAGCGGTCCATCTCCACACCCGAAGCTGGCAGCCAAAGTCTCATCCTCAGCGCGAAAGATGTTCGCCAGCGAGAAAGCCAAGCACTTCTGAGCGCCCGCTACGACCATGCAGTCTTCCAGCCGCTCAGCACCGTCGTTCAGCAGGCTTTCCAGAACCTGTGACAAAGTGCCTGCCTGTGGCTGTCGCCCCGCCATGCGCAGCTCTGTCACCTCCATGCGAACATTTGACTGCGCAGCGAAGCTTTCCACAATGGCAGAAATTGCCTCGCCCCCTGCCAGCGGCGCTGCGGCCACTGCATCATACACTGGCGCTGCAGGCAGCCACTTGAAAGCTTGGAGACAATTACAGAAGTCGCGAGTCACCTTGGCTTCGTCATCAAAAAGCAGCATGGCCATGGTGCTGGTTTCTGGTCTCCTCTTGCCGGCCGCTACGGCAGCCTCAAGAACAGCTGCGTTCTGTTGACACAAAGCCTTTCGGAGTGTGAAGCTTTCATACGCAAGACCTTCTAGGATTGGCAACACTCCCAAGGCATCCTTGCCATCGAGAGGGTGCGCAAACCCAAACGTAGCCTTCTGAAGAAGTGTTTTGGCATCTGCAAGGCTGGGCAAGTCAAAGTAGCGCTGGACGGCCTGACGCCACTGTGCCTTGTGCGTCTTGTACTTCTCAAGCAGGCAAGCGCAAACACCCAACTCTTCAGCTCTTTCAAGCATGAAGTGCACAACTGCTGTGGGCTGGTCAAACTCATAGCTCCCAGCTGGGAACAAGGCAGCGCGAGCAGCTCTAGACAAATTTGGAGGGCTAAGTGCTGGGAAGTAGTAACGGCCTAAGGGCTGCCCAGCCACAACTTTCTGCACTCCACGGTGGCGCATGAACATGCCACACTCATCTCTCTCAACATGGCTGGAAATAAGCCGCATGTACTCTGCCACCTGCTGTGGTCGAGAGTCTTTGCCTTCAGCAACATACTTCTCGAACGACTCCACATCCACTCGGAACATAAAGTCCCAGTGCGGGCCATCTGCAAAACCATGCTCCTCGCACTCATTCACCTCGTCCCCCGCACGCTCCCCGGTGGGCTCCGAAGGCCAGGTCCAATCTTTCCAGGTGCCAAAGACGCCTGCCATGTCGCAGTCAGACACCTCGGGTCAATGATCAGTCTGCGAGACACATGAAGCCATTAAGCGCCAACACTCACGATGCCCTTCCGAATCAACACCCCCGCGCAACAACCTGCCTCTTCCAGAACAGCCATCATCTTCCCTACATCCACGGGCCGGCGAAGAAACTTCACACTGCCTCTGCGATCTTCTGGGGCCCGTCGTAGCAGATAGGGAAACTCCCCAATTGCATCCTGTAGGAACTCTGCACGGCTTCTGTGCTTCGATGACTTGCTGCCATCTCCGCCGGGGTTGGCCTGCACGTGGCTGCATCTGTTCACCGAGTGGGCTGTCAGCGCAGAAGAGGTCAAGGCGGCGTGCGTTTCCTGCACTATCCGGACGGCGCGAGACTCAGCTCGCTCTTCCAGGCCGGCCCCAAGAGGCGCTGGAGCATCACCAGGCGCGTCAGGATGTGCTGCGGTGGTCACGCGGGCCATCTTCTGCAAGAGCCAAGCAGTGTCCTTCTCCGTCTGCGAACCCGGCTTGACGTAGTCGAGATCCCTGTACCACTGGCGTGGGCCACTCTGCCGCATGTACTTGAACAAGAAGTCTTGGAAGAAGGACCAGACAGCATCGCCTGAAGACATGAAGCCCTTTGCGTCTTCGTCGGCCAAGAACTTCTTGGAGGCTACATCCACAGACTCCACCTGCGTTGTCATGCTGGCGCGCATGAAGACGCCTCGAAACCGGCGGGAATGCGACCTCTCCAATGCCGTTGGAATGGCAGGCACATCGCCCAAGTTCATGCACCAGTTCTTGCCGCAGTAGGCATAGGAGCCATCCTTGGTTTCAGCCTCATGGTTCCGCCGCAGAGGCAAGATGCCGTTGCCAATGAACAACTTCACAACGTCCTCAACAATACCCTGGTCTCGACGGCACTCGTCAAATGTCAGCATGGCGCAATGCAAGTATTTCAGCCCCTGTTGCTGAAACTCCCGCTCAACTTGGAGCATAGTGCCCGGAGGATTGCCAAATCCACTTCCCCAGCACGCTGCCATGAGATCGACCAGGATCAGGCTCTTGCCTTCCATGCCTGCGCCAAAAAAGACGTTCATGACGTCCGGCTGGCGCATCCCGGAAAGAGCAAGAGCACTCTGCGCAAGGAGCCTCTCCAAGCCATCACCGCCAGAGAAAGACGCCAGAAGCATAGAGGCCAGCCGGCGCCGACTCACGTCTGATGGCCTGAACACGATTTGGTGCGAGACCTGCACGTAGCACCCGTGCCGCGGATCCTTTCGGAGCTGCTTGATGTCACCATCTGCCGTGGAGATGTAAGCATCCTGGAACGCAACACCCGGCTGCTTGCAGGCGTCGTAGCTGCTCTCCGCCCAGCGGTGGAAATTCTTCACCATGTTCTTGTTGTGCTCGCTAAACTGGCGCCGAAGATCTCGACAGAGTTCACTCAAGCCGTAGAACCACAACTTGGCCTTCATCTCAGCTTTACGCCCAAGCAGATCAGTCATCTGCCACTCAAGGAGCGTTTGCTCCTCGCCTGTGCTCAGTATGACACGCACCTCAAAGATCGCATTCTCGAGCTTGCGCGCTGGCGGGTCCTATGCTCGTCCCCAAATGGAGAGAGGTGTCCCCCCGCCCCCTTATTCAATATTTTTTTCTTTAGCAACAAGGGGAACCTTGAGGGACATACCAAAACAGAGGCATTTTAGGGAAGTACCCCTGCACCTTTGTTCAAAAGAAGGGAGGGCTTGGCCGCTTGGCGGTCCTCTAGCTTGCCAAAGACCAAGTAATACGCTTGAGCCCTTCTCAGCGCGCCGAGCAAGAAGTCCAAGTGGCAAGATGAAATGGTGTTGTGGAAGGACTGCACAAAGGCGCCGTTCAGGAACTCGAAGAGCTTGCCGGCGTGGGACCGGTACTGTTCGCCAAGAAGAAGAGCGAAGATCTTGGTGTGGAGCAGTTCACTGCGCACATCATCTGGGGATGCGTGCAGCAGCAATAAGGTCACCTGCGCAGCGGCTCGCTGCATGAGAACGTCGTCCTCCAGCACTTTGCCTTTCCAGCCGAAGGCCTCGTCAATCTGGTCCCGAAAAGCATCCATTTCCTCTGCCATTGTCCTGGCGCGCCTAGCTACATCTTTGGTGAAGGCCAGCTCGCTTACGCTCGCTTGAGGACCACACTCAAAGCCAGCAGGAGCCCATGTCTGTCTCCAAGATCTCGTCCAAGTTGCGCAGCCCTCCTCTGGAGCTACTGGCAGGGGCGCCAGAAGGAAGAGGCTGCGCAGCTGTGCTGTTCGGCACGCGAGCCTGGCGGCTGTCTGAAAATAATTCCTTCCCCCGGAAACGCAATCTTCGCGGAACAAAAAAGTAACTTTCGCGGCCTTCATCACGAGTACAATTCCGCAGTGAGGCTTGGAAGCGCCAACTGTTCAGAACGAAAGTTGTACAAAGTAAATTTCTGGCGCCCCAGCTCGAAAGTCGCAACTTTTCAGTTCCAAAGTAGTACGCGAAGTGCACTTCCGCAGCCCCAGCTCGAAAGCCGTGCAGCAGCACAGGAGGGAACCCATGGCGCTGAGGGTTTCCTGCATTTTTTGGCGGCAATCCTCTGGCCGCGCTTTCCTCCGACTAGCTTTGCGCATTCTGCGCAATCTGACGGCAAATGCATATAGCTCATCATTATCTTCCTTTTAGCAAACTGCCCTTAGGCAAATAGGCAAAACTTTCGAAAGAAAAATGGCAACTTTCGCGAAGCTTTCGCGGATGGCAGTAATACGACCAAAAAAAGTCTTCCCCTTCCTAATTTCCTGAATGTTAGGACCTTTCGGACGACTCCCACCTGCGAAGCCGGCGCTGTCTCCAACTCAGCAAAGCTGCGAGCCAGCACCTGAGGGTCTTCCAGCGCTGCCAGCCGGCGAGCCGAGTACAGGCGCAGCCAGGCTTGCAGCGGCGCGTCCTCCTGCGCCTCCATGACTCCAGGCGTGCTTCCTTGAGCCGCAACTTACGCAGAGATCGTTCCTAAACCGCAAGTCACTCAATCGCTGAGCGCCAGCCCCTGGCAACAATCCTGCGAGATCATGATACGAGTAAAGCCGGCAGAGCCTTAGGCAATAGGGGCGCTTGCTTTTGCTTTGGCACTGGGCCTCATTGAAATTGTCATGGAAACCTTCTGCTTGCTTGTCACACTTCACTTGCGCTTGCGCATTTGTATCCGAATTTCTGTTGCGCTATCATCTGTTAATCAGGCTGTCTCATCTGTTGGGCCATCTATCTGTCAAGCAAGCTACCTGTGGAAGTCTCTGCCTGAAGCTGCCTGTCTGTTCAGCTGTCTGTCTGTCAAGCTACCAGCTACCTGTCCAGCTATGTATTGGTTTTGTTATCTATCTGTCAAGCTGTCTGTCTCTGAAGCTAACTGTTTCTCTCGCTATCTTGCCTGACCTCGGGAAAATGCTGCGCGTGCCTTCTGCCGGCGCGAAGTGCACCCCGCTATACACGCGCACTTCCCCGACCCTGGTGGCAGCACCGACCTCGCTGTCCACCAGCCAACGTCTGATCCAACACTTCACAACTCTGTGTTGCCCCGCCGGCGCGAAGCACACCCCGCTACGCATGTGCGCCTCCCCGACTCTGGCGGCAGCAACGACCCCGCTGCGTGCCAGCCAGCAACGATGGCAAAAGCTACCTGTCTGTCCATCTATCTGTCAAGCTACCAGCTACCTGTCAAGCTGTCTATCTGTCAAGCTACCTATCTGTGAAGCTGTCTGCCTGTGAAGCGAATTTGTTGCCCTCGCTATCTTACCTGACCTTGCGAAAGTGCTGCACGTGCCTTCTGCCGGCGCGAAGTGCAGTCCGCTACACACGCGCGCTTCCCCGACCCTGGTGAAGCGCACTTACCAGTAAGGTCCGGCAGAGCCGGGGGGGAATTTTCAAATATATAAACGATAGTTGTCTTTATCTTTCTTTTCTTATTTTGTTTTTTCTTCTTACGTATTTCTTTCCTTCTTTCTTTTAATGGTGTATTTTCTTTCCATCTTTCTTGCTTTCTCTTTTGTTTGTTTTTCTCATTTCGTTCTTTCTTTCTTGCTTCCTTCCTTCCTTCCTTCCTTCCTTTCCTTTCTTCCTTTCCTCTCCTTTCCTTCTCTTTCCTTTCCTTTTATGTCCTTTCCTTTGCTTCCTTTTCTGTGTTGTTCTTTCTTTCTTTTCTTTCATTCTTTCTTATTCTTTCGATCTCTCTAACTATCTACTTATTATCTGTCTCCTACATATCTATACATATCTATCTCTCCACCTGTCATTCTAGCTTTCTCTTAATCTATCTATCGATCTCTCTCTCTCTCTCTCTCTCTCTCTCTCTCTCTCTCTCTCTCTCTCTCTCTCTCTCTCTCTCTCTCTCTCTCTCTCCTGTCAAATATCATGCTGTACTACTTGTCCCTTGTACATGCATAATGTACACTACTCGACCGCAGGCCTTGAGTCTACAAGCAAAAGAGCGCATGCTGGGAAACTACATTTGTGTTTGTGACAGCATAAACAACACTTGCACTTGTAGTAAAGTAACGACGTATTTTAACGTGGTAGCGGAGCTGAGATCCTAAACATAAGGGAGCTCCAGAAACAGCAGTAAGTACTACAACTGCACAGGCAACCACATGCCCAACTACTACGACATGTCAGGAGAACCAGCAGCAGCATCAGCACAACCAACTACAGGAGCAGACAACGGGCCCACAGCAAAGGAGACAATAGGAGCCACAACTACGGGAACAACACAGGAGCAGGAAGACGTCCAAAGGCTACACAAATACAAACTGCCACCACCGTTCTTCACTGGTGACTACTCACAGTACGAAGAGTGGCTGTGCAAACTACACGCATACCTCGGACTCATCGACCGAGACTTCGACATGGTACTACAACTAGCACAAGCAGCTACAAGACAAATTGAAGATGCAGACATCAGAGCCCACATACGCGACCCTACACAGGCAGCAAAAGCAGTAGACCTCTCACGAGATCTACACTACATCCTCATCAACATCTGCCAAGGTGCAGCAGCTACAGTGGTCAGACAAAACCGCTACAATGCCAATGGATGTGAAACACTACGGCTTTTGCACAACAGGTTCAGCCTACCAGTAGGAACACGCAGTGTTGGCTACCTCACCAAACTACTGGAACCTACATTCAATGAAGCACAATTTGAAGAACAATTCCTACAGTGGGAGTATGACATCAACCGCTACGAGAAAGACAACGGCACAGCACTACCAGATGGAGTGAAGATTGCAATGCTACTCAACAAGACCAAAGGAGCACTTCAACAACATCTCCAACTACGTGCTGGACAGATCACGAACTACAACGAGATCAGAGTTGTCATCCTGGACTACTACAAGACCATATCTGCATTCTCAAGAGCGAGCTCAGCGGTTGGCACAAACTACAATGGTGGAACAGCACCCATGGACGTGGACAACATTTGGAGGAAAGGAAGAAACTACAAAGGCAAAAGCAAATATGGAGGCAAAGGATCCTACAAAGGAAACAAAGGAAAAGGCAAGTACAGAAACAAAGGCCACTACAAAGGATTCGACAAAGGCAGCAAAGGAAACTACAACAAAGGAGGATACAACAAGAGCAAAGGAAAAGGCTACTCAGGATCCAAAGGATATGGATCAAGCAAAGGCTACAAAAGCCAAGGAAACTATAGCAAACCAAAAGGAAAAGGAAACAACAACTACACAACATGCCATCGATGTGGCAAGCCTGGCCACTGGGCACAAGACTGCAGAGTGCCAGTATGGCACATAGGAGAAGGCCCGCCGCGCCCGCCGTGCCCGCCGCGCTCGCCGCGCCCGCCGCGCCCGCCGCGCTCGCCGCGGCCGCCGCGCTCGCCGAGCAAGCCGCGCCGCCGCGCCCGCCGCGCCCGCCGCGCCTGCCGTGCCGCCGTGCCCATCGTGCCCGTCGCGAACGCTGCGCTCGCCGCGCCCGTGCCCGCGGTCGCTGCACCGCGCCCGCGCCCGCTGCGCCCGCGTACCGTGCGCACGCCGCGCCTCGCCACGCTCGCCGCGCTCGCCGCGCCGCCGAGCCACCGGCGCCCGCCGCGCCCGTCGCGCCCGCCGCGCTGCCGCGCATGCCGCGCCGCCGCGCTCGCCGCGCCCGCCGGGCCCGCCGCGCCCGTCGCACCGCGCAACCCGCCGCGCCCGCCGCGCTCGCCGCGCGCCGCGCCCCCCGCTCGCCACGCCCGCCGCGCCCGCCACGCCCGCCGCGCCCGCCACGCCCGCCGCGCCCGGGCCCGCGCCGCGCCCGCGCCCGCCGCGCCCGCCGCGCCAGTGCCCGCCCGCGCCCGCCGCGCCCGCCGCGCCTGCCGCGCGCGCCGCGCCCGCCGCCCCGCCGCGCCCACGCCCGCCGCGCCCGCCGCGCTCGCCGCGCTCGCCGCGCGGGGCGCGCCCGGCCCAACGCGCCGCCGCCGCGCCCGCCGCGCCTGCCCCCCGCCCGCACCGCCGCGCCCACCGCGCCCCGCCGCGCCCGCGTCGCCCACGCGCCCGCTGCCGCACCCACCGGGTCCGCGCCCACGCCCGCCGCGCACATCGCGCCCGCGCCCGCGTCCGCCGCGCCCGCGCCCGCCCGGCTCCTGGCTTGACATGTGAGGGCCGTCCAATAGTCCAGTTTTTCGAAATAAGTAAGGGTTGCTACTTGTGTAGCTGCTAAACCTGCGGCGCAGTTGTTAAGCTGAATAGAAAGTTGCTTCTGCCTACGTAGTCAGCGTAGTTGCACAGAAGGCGAGCCCAAACAGTTCATTGCGACAACGCATAATTGCAAGCCGAGGGTGCAAGTGAGAGTGAGTCGCGGCGTAAACATGATCACTGGTCAGCGCCAAGGCCGTTGTAGGTGAAATAGAAGCTAAGGCCAAGTGAACAGCGGGTGCGCTCATGACAAGAACGCTGGTCATGTGAGCGATCGGCAAAACTCTAATTGACATCCGGCGGCTTCGTGTGATTATCATCGTTTTTAGGGGTTCCCTATATCGTTTCTCAGTGTTCTGGCACATTGGGCTGATCTTTCTTGTTCCCGCATCACAGTTCGTCAGCAGACTCCATAGCATCATTGGCGATGGCTGCCGCGCGCTTGCGCTTGCTGCGAGCGTTTGCCTTCGCGAGACGGTTTTCGTCGCGGGCCACAAGCTCATCAAATGCCAAGTCCTTCTTGGCCGGGAGGTTGCCACGAAACATGGCCATCTGACTGCGATGCTTTCGCAAGATTTCATTGCATTGTCCCAGTGGCAACGCTGGCTTGCGCCAAGTCGGATCCTGCCAGAAGCCACGCTTCCATTCGAGGTGCTCAGCGTCAATCTTTCTTTCGACAACCTGGTAGCACACTCGATGCCGGAGGCTGCTGTTGCCTGGAATGGTTGCACAACAGCTTAAGATCGCAGAAACCTTATAGAAGAAAGCGCGAATTTCAGTCAAGGAGCTGAACAAGCAGTTTGAGATCCGCACTGGAAACCGGGCATTTCCGCTTGGCACTGCCTCCCAGGAGTAGGACCGCGTGATCAAGTCTTCGTCAAAGTTCAGGGCCCAGGTTTTTCGCGGCTTTGGCGGAGCGAAGATGTGGATGTCAAACTTTGTGCCACCAGGGTTTTGCTTCATTTCCCTTTTGGCGTACTGTAGCAGCACTTTCACAACGGCATCCTCCGTGTCGCAAAAGGCTTCTGCGTTGAGGAGGAACTCATCCAGCCAGCGCCGAATCGGCGAGAAAACCTCGCTGTCACACATAGATTTCCCGTGCTTCTCGACGAGGAAATTCACCCGGCATTTCTGCTTCTTCTCCGCTGCCAGCTTGTGCAAAAAGTAATACAAATTCTCGTAAGATCGGAAGTGCGTCCCCGCGTCAAACCCAAGGATCAGTTCCTCCAAGGATCCCACATTCTCAATGTGTTTCAAGCACTCCAGAACGCACAAGCTCCCAAATAGTGCGCTGAGCTCAATAATCTCACTGACAAGGACCACTGCCAGGACGGTTTTCTGGCCTGCCGCATTTCGTTGCACTGCGTACATGGTGAAGACACTGAGTGTCTTTCTTTGACTTCCATGAAACTGGTCGCTCGTTTCAGAGCCGCTGATCGGAATCGGAAGTTTTTCCATGAAGTCAAAATGGCAGTAAGCTCGGTTGGGCCCCAAATTCTCAACCAAGTTCCTCATGTTGCTTTGCTCCACTTGCGCAGCAGCTTGGTGCCATTCATACGCAGCAACAATCTGAGAGTGCAGCTTGGCTTCAGTCAGCAAAGCGCCTTCTACGTGCCGGATGCTCTCTGGCCTCGGTGAAGCTGCCCGAAGGTTGGCAAAGCAGCGCTCATGCAAAGTTCCAAGGACATCTTGCACCAAGGTCAAGGAGGACGAAGTGTCCAAGCTCGTGAACAAGGACTTGAACTTTGCCCTTCTGAGTACAGGATGCCAATAGTTGGGGCAAACCTCTTCCATGTCTTTCTGGACGCGCTGCATGAAATCTCTAGCTCTCGGCAAGATTTTCTTGGTGTAGGAAACGCAATGGTCACAGAGGTCGGTTTTCTTCCGGGCACGCTTGTATTCAGGGAAGTAGGTCTTGTGGATCTTGCGGAATTGGCGGAAATTCAAACGGCCTCGTAGGGCGGGCATGCTCCTGGTCGCCGAAACGCTTACGGAAACAAACGGGGATGGTTTTGGCATGTTCACGAATGCAAGCAGAACAGCAGCAATCCCCTGGTCCTGAGGATGGTGGTCGGCCTGCAACACAGGCTGCGCACCTGTCGCCGCTCTTTCTGGGGACCGACGCAAGTCCAGCTGGATGCTGTCGAGAAGAAGTCCAATGCATCCTTCACAAGCCCTTGCCATCTAGGGTCCTTGACTTTTGAAGGTCTGCCTTGCACCTTCTTCATGTGCCACTTCTTGACAGACATCTTGAGTCTCTGCCTGAGTTGCCCAGCTGTGAGGTACCCCATGGAAATCAACTTCTTGTTGGTGAAGCCAGACTTAAAGACCACGCCATCCAACGCCCTGGCCACAGGCATGTTAACACTCTTCCACGCTTCCCGCATCTCTTTGACGTTGGCTACTAAGGGTGAGCAGTGACAGTCCTTGTCCGTCTCTTGCAACACTTCCGACATCACGCCGGGGTAAGCACGTTCGACACGCTGCAGCACCGCTGACAGCAGCTTCGCAGCATCTTCTTGTGTAGCGCAAGAGCCCAGGACATTGTCCGCAAGCTGCTGGCTCTTTGCTCGGAAGGTGCGCGGCGCCCACTCTGAAACAGTATGCCCAGGAGCTTTTCGTCGCTCTGGAGGCTCTTCCTCGCAAGCCCCACCCGCATCTCCTGCAGAAGGTTCAGAAGGATTCTCTCCGTGGCCTGTGGCTGCCGACACCACCAGCTGGCCAGTTCCCGTTGCCCTTGCTGCTGAGCTGGTTGCTGAGGTAGTAGCAGCAGCTGCAGCATCTGGCAAGTCGGCGCCCAGTAATCGGGACACGTCCACCAACAGGTACTTGAGGCAAGGCTGCCCGTCATCTGTGCCGAGCAAGGCCCGATCAGCTTCCGTAACCTTGGCTCCATTCTTGGCACAATTGTAAACGTTGAAGGGTTGAATCCTCGTGAGTTGGCCCTGTGTTGTCCACAAAAAAGGATCGTTATCTGCTCACCTGTTCGCCGCTCCGTGGGTGCGCTGAGCTGCTCGCGCCACGACCCGTTACGCTTGGTCCGCTGCGCTTGGTCCGCTACGCTGATTTCTATTCCCCCGCCACACACGTTTGGACGATTTCTATTCCCCTGCCACACGCTGTTGGACAGTTTCTATTCCCCCGCCACGCGCTTTGCGCGATTTCTATTCTCCCGCCACACGCTTTTGGACAGTTTCTATTCCCCCGCCACACGCTGTTGGACGATTTCTATCCCCGCCACACGTGCGCGCATGTTTTGTCGTGTGCTCTCATTCTGTAGTGGAACACAAAACGTGAACTCAACATCCGCTAAGCCATGCTACAGGACACTCAAGTTCAAAAGCTGTGGCTTTGGAATAAAACATGTGACTGCAGGAAAGTGGAATAAAACATGTGACTGCAGGAAAGTCTCCAAAGGCCACACGTGTCGCCGCACAAAGTTCCACGCCCACGTGCGTTGCTCTTTTGTGAAGTCACCACCCCGAGCCGGTTTTCCTGGCTTTGCCTTACAAGCACCACGTTGAAGTGCTGCCTTGTAAGTTGGATCTGCAAACATGAGGCCCCGCAGGCGGCCCATGGCCTTCTCGGCATTCATTGTGGCAAGTAGTCAAAACATGAGCAACGTGGACAAGTGGTCACAAACGCAAAATTCGTAGTAAACCGCTTATGGTTTCGTTATCGTTTTGGTTATCGTTCGAACTGGGCATCCGTTTTCGAGTCCTGATCCTAACACTTCAACCGCCGTGAGCCCAGCTAACAACAAATTGCATGATGACAGCACTGGTCGGCTAATCGGCTGAGCCCTTGCCTTGCACATATGTGCTCATGATCTCTGCACCTTTTTGCTGCGAGCAGCTCGTGTGGTGACGCACACAGCCCCTGAGTGCTTGGAGCACTCGAACCCCAACATGTCAGCTGAGTTTGCGCTTGAAGCGCGCAAAACCAAAGGAACCCCGACATGTCAGCTGAGATTGTGCCCAGCATGTCAGCCTAGTTTGCGCTTGAAGCGCAAAATCAATTCAACCCCAGCATGTCTAGTTAGTGCACTCAGCGCACTTGCAGACATCGTCCTCCCGTGCGTTCAATTTGTGACGCACGGCCCAGGACTTAAGTGTGACAGCCCTCCGGGCTTGCTTGACCCGGCTCAAAACAGCCAACGACCGCGTTGGAACTTGGGAGCCCAAAAGCATTGTCGCCTTCCAGCAACACCAGCAGACCGCACCTGCGGTGCGGATCTTGCCCCGGCCACTCACGCGGGTGATCCACCGTGCGCGATGCCGACCGATGTGGCAAAGTCGACACCGGTCGACTTGGTCCTTCGACCATGCAGTACGGCTCGGGTTCCCCTGTGCGGACTCAGCCCACACAAGAGCATCAGCCAAAGACTGCTGCACTGCCACAGGAACCACAATCTCCACAGTGGTTTTGGATCGCAAACGCTTCGCGTACACCGGGAGCTGTTCCTTCTCTGGCGTATCCTTCTCCCTCTGCCGGTGGCGCCTCTCAGGCGTGCCCTCATTGTCTTGCTCAACTGGTCCGGCCTCAGCTGGTAGACCGTTGGACGGTGGATAGGCGATCCCTTGTAAACGCAAGGCGTGGTTGGTAGGACTTCTCGTAGTTTGCGATTCCTGCCAAAGAAAGCATGCACATTAGCAAGGCAGAGAAACTCTCAAGAGATGCCATACCATAATACAAACTGCACTCCTGAGGTGAAGCGGGTTGGACACTTGCAGAATCACCATCGGCAGAAACATGGGCAGAGTCCTGCAGCTGGCGAAGGCATGAGGCAAACAATGCCCTCATGCGGGAATGTCTCCTGAATCTCGGCCGGCTCATCCTGCTCCTCGCCCTGCTTCTCTGCTCGCGCCAGTGTGTCCTGCCAGCGCACTCACTCAGCCCAATGCTTGGGGGAAAACAGTTCGTCCTCTTGAGTTGCGGTAGGTCGGTCGCCAGCAGAGGGAACCAAAGAAGCCTCCTGGCCGGGGAAGCGGATTGGACCAAAGAAACAAAGCATGGTGCAAAAGTCTCCCGTCCTTGGCTGGCGCATCCTGCTCCTCGTCCTGCTTCTCTGCTTGCGCCTTTGTGTCCTCCCGGTGCACTATGCCGAAACAATTTGGGGAAAACAGTTCGTCCTCTTGAATTGCGGTAGGTCGGTCGCCAGCAGAGGGAACCAAAGAAGCCTCCTGGCCGGGGAAGCGGATTGGACCAAAGAAACAAAGCATGGTGCAAAAGTCTCCCGTCCTTGGCTGGCGCATCCTGCTCCTCGTCCTGCTTCTCTGCTTGCGCCTTTGTGTCCTCCCGGTGCACTATGCCGAAACAATTTGGGGAAAACAGTTCGTCCTCTTGAATTGCGGTAGGTCGGTCGCCAGCAGAGGGAACCAAAGAAGACTCCTGGCCGGGGAAGCGGATTGGACCAAAGAAACAAAGCATGGTGCATGGACCTTGGCCGTCTGACCCTGGTGCTCGCTGTGCTTCCCTGAAAGAACAAGGGTGTCCTTTGCCAGCACAACACTTCGTGAAGGATTTGTTTGCGCCAAGCTGTCCTCTCGAGTCTGGTTCTGTGCTACTTCGAGATCTCTGACCACGCCCTCTGCGCGAGCCGTCTCAAGCTCCTGCCGTTGCCGTGGGCACGCAGCCAGGAAAAGCAGACTAAGTTGGCTGTTAGTGTTGCCGGCTGACATCCGCACAATGCCTGCCTGCTCCTGCAAAGACCTCTGGGCTAGCGCGCTTGCTCCAGCGATCCCTCCGGCTGGAGCTGCCATTGCCTCCTGCCAGGCTGTTGGCGCCATCTCAGCTATGCCCAACCACCACCACCACCACCAGCATCAGCAGCAGCGGCAGCAGCTAGAAATAAAGGCAAACGCAAGAAGCACACGAAGCCCCCCCAGCCAGAACACCCAGGCCACCCTTCTGCCAAGAGGCCATGAACGTCTCTTGGATGCGTTCGTGGTAGGACCTGTCAGGGACGGAAATGCAAGCACTACCTACCTGATCGGTTGGCACCTACCTTCCTCATGTCCTTCGATCTGTCTCGTGTCTATGCCTCACCCTGCCTACCCGCCTTCATCGCTACACCTGCCTGCCTGCGGAGCCTTGCCTGCATACCTCCCCTCACGCAGGCAGCAGCCGCAGCAAAAACGAGTGCAAATACCGGCACACTTGCCACGACCACCCACCACAGCACCACCACCGGAACCGCCAACCTAGCGCCGTTCCAGCTCCTTGAAAGCAGCCGTCGCAGCATCCCTCTTGTCCCCAGAGAGATCCCGCATGTAGTCGGTCAACCGCGAAGTAAACTCCCACGAAGTGCCAGTGCTTAGATGCGGCCCCGAGTCAATTCACAACAGTAACCTGATACAACCTAGCTCCACGCCACTCACTTGGGCTTGCCTTGCCCCCAAACCTTGAAGGCCCTTCACACATGCCAAAAGAAAGCCCTCTTTGCACAACTTCTTCAAATGACAAGGCTCAAAACAGCCACATGGTGCGACCGCCTCAGGCCCCCAAGAGCCGTGATGGACTCGCAAGCGCAGCGGCACAAGATCACCTGGTGCTTCTTGTCCATGGTGGTGTCGTACATCTTTTCTCCGCACTCAACGAGGCGGCCAACTTTGCATATGCTAGGTGGCGTCAACAAAGCCATGGCGACACAGGAAGCTACTGAAAACGCAAGGGCTTGCGCCAAAATAGGCAGCCAGAGATGCACCGCCTGCAGTGCAAACCAAAACCACCATTATCGTTTTAAGGGGTTCCTATATCGTTTCTCGTGCTGATATACACATTCGAAGCGCGAAGCCCCTCAATAGGTACTCCTTGCATGAGGAGTTTAGCTTGTTGCTCATGTGTAGGTGCCGTCATGTTTCTTGAACACATTCTGGCAGTCGCGAGCCCCCAACCGAACTCCAACCGATTAGCTCTTGCGTAGGAAAATAACGCTAAACAACATCGTGAGCCTGCGAACTGGTCTGATCGTAGGTCAAATTCTCAAAGATAGCTGGCAAAACTTGTTTGGGGCCAAGGCAGGCCTTGCAACCGCCATCCGTTAAAAGACAGCTGATTCTCTGCGCAGGCAGAGCTCTAGAGGTTGCTGAGCCTGCTGCTGCCAAATGCGTGCGCCAGTCGCCCTTCCGCATTGCTTTAACGAAGTGGCATCAAGGATATCACGTTCCAAACGCAGCCCTGACAACTTCTGCACTGCTTCCGCAAAATAGATCCCACGCGTGCTGCCCAACAACCAGTAACAACCCTTTAATATCTCGAAAGCGGCCGCCAGACATGCGCAATTTTCGCTTGATACCAACTCAGTCACAGCTTCACCTGAACGCCACCTGCACTTTCACAGGCTTGGCGTATCCTACTTGGCTTCTTCCTTCTGGGGCGGCTACTGTATAGGCAAGAGATCTGACGGCCGCCACTTTCCAAGCAAAGACTGGCGTGCCGCACCAGTCAAACTTGCTGCCCTGGCGAACGCAGTGAGCTGCCCTTGCCGCAGCAAAGGAAATCCCATCGGTGAGTTTTACCGCCTCGCTGAACCGGATCGTGCCCACAATCTGCGCCCCTTTTGGTCGGGGAGGGACGTGAAAGCCCTCCGGGATGCAAGCAGAGTAGCTCGCCGTGGATGCACCTCCGCGCGTTTCCACCAGCCACATCTCCTCATTCGCATGCGCGATGTTGAGGTGGCCCAAGGCATAGCCCCGCACCTCCTGTGTCTTGTAGCCCGCCAACAGCAGCTGGGAGAAGGGCCACTGAACATGTAGCCCGCGCAAGCTCACCTCTTGGGTCTGGGCGGGCTTGCGGCGCTGCCGCAGCTTCCTCTGCTTCTGCTTGGTGAAGACAGTGCGCTTCACTTTCTGCTGAGCCCTCTCGCACCCGCGCTTCCGCGCCATCTCCTCTCGCCTGGCAGCCTCCTTCACCCAGGCAGACTTGCGAGTGGTTGCAAAGGCCCTCATCCTTGCCACCTTCGCCTTGTCCAGAAAGTGCACGGGTCGCCTCAGCTCCTGACGTGAAGTCACCGGCGCCATCGCCACCCCCGCTGCGCCAGCAAACTCTCCGCTCATGATATACCCCAGCATAGAGCTGATCAGCTCGGCCTGGCTCCTTTGAGCGACTGTGGGGTGGTACGATGCCGAGTTGTGCGCCAACATTTTGCCCAAGCAGAACGCCTCCAGCTTCAATGTCGAGGAGTCCACATGCTGTTGGGTGACTGTTTGCTGGGAGCGGTTGAACTGGAAGTGCACAGCTTCGTTAGCAGTCGTGCCCCACGATAGCATCTGCCGATCTTGCAGGCTCAGCGCTGCAGTGGCTCGGCTTCCGTTGAGTAGGTAGGCGTAGTGCTGGTAGGCTGCTCCAGACTGAAGAATCTGAAACACTGTCCTGCCCTTGCTATCTTTTCGACCCATGTCAGTGGCGAAGCGGACGGTCAAGCTTGCCAAGTCATCAATGTAGTCCTGGTGTGACGCATAGGGCTCCTGCACGTATGCGTTCCACTCTCTGCCTCGAGCCTTCATGTTGTCCGCCTTTGCTGGCCACTTTCCTTCTTCTCCAGCGGCAGGAAGCTCACCTCTGTGAATGCGACCGCTGGCAGGCACCATGAACTTGCGCTGCAAGGCAATGATCTCACGTGAGAGGGCTGTGCGCTTCTCGCCGAAGCACGCCTCCACCCGCAGGGCAAGATGCAGACCGTCCTCTGCCATGCCTTGTAGGTTTGGGAAGAGCTCCCTGACATGGTCAATGGCAGCAGGAGAGTCACTGAAAATCCACTCTGTTGTGGAACGGGCTTCCGGTGGCAAAATTGCCTTGCACGCGCGCTCAAAGCACGCCAAGCCCTCTGATGCCTGCGCGCTCAAGCCCGGAAGAGCCCCTGACTTCCCCAGGATGCTGTGTAAAGCATGTGCTTCGTTTGGCTTCTGTGACATTGGAACTTGACCAATGATGCTAAACAAGCTCTTGAACGTGGCATCATGGCTGAGGACTTGCCATTCTCCGTGCTGGGTGGCCTCCGCGAGAAGCTGCCCTCTCAAAGTCTGCACTGCATCACTGGAGAAAATCTCATCCAACAGCTGCTGCTGCGTACTCTGGCGCCGAAGGCCTAAAAAAGCACACGGGCTACCTTTGGCGATGAAGGCAGAAACCAAATCCTGAAAGCTCGCCTGCACCCGGCCTTGATGCTTCAGAACCAACCCAAGCAACATGGCTGCAGCGGTGCTGTCGTAGTACACGTTTTGGTTGAGGCGTTTGCAATGAGAGGTTTGCTGCTTCAGGACATACCGTGGGCCCTCGCCCGTGAGCAGGAGCACCAAATCCACATCATTCTGCTTTTGAAGGAAGACCTGCGAGTCTTCGTCCGGACTCACCCATTTCCGGATAAGATCTGCAGAGTCCCTCAGCAAGCTTTCAGAGTGCCTCGGCTGCTGCAAGGGGGCCAAGATCTGGTCCTGCTCATACAGAGCTTGCACCGTGTTCCACTGAGCCTCGGTTCTGGTGTTGGCAGTGAACAATCGTGTCTGGACGTGGTACTTCGTAAGATGCGTCTGGAGTTGACGCCTTTCCGAAAATTGCCGAAAAGGACAGAAGGGGCACTTCGCAGTTGACCCACGCGCGTTGCCTGAGGAAGCAGCGGGCTCAAAAAAAACACGGCTCGCAACTTGTTAAACTTGTTTGTCCTTCTTGAGAGGCCCCGCACCAAACAAAAAACAACAAAATGTGCCCACATGCTGGGTGAGTTGCGCCGTCCCTCCTGCGCCAACTCATCTAGACGCTTGATTTCAGCAGAAACCTCCGCCCTCACCTTCTCAGCCACTGTGTCCAACACTCGCTCGGCAACGTCGGGCGCTTCGGCCCCGCTAAGCATGTCCAGCAGAGGGTTCGCCAGCTTGCGCTTGCGAAGCGAAAGTGAGGCCGACAACAACTTGGCTTCGAAGACGTGAGCACGTGGCAAGGCTGCCACGGAACGCCAGAAAGTGGCGGCGTCAATTTCCACTGCCTGCATAACGGAGTCACTGTGCACCCTGCACTTGCCAGCGTAACAGAGCACGCCGATGGCATGGCCCACCTCCCGCCCTGGCCGGGTCTCGTGCACGATGTAGTGGCTGCCATCGCCAGCTGCAGCAGAAGCAACGCTGACAGGCTCCAGGCTCAGTCCTGGGTGTAGTTCCATGCACTGTCTGAAGCTAAGCGGTCCATCTCCACACCCGAAGCTGGCAGCCAAAGTCTCATCCTCAGCGCGAAAGATGTTCGCCAGCGAGAAAGCCAAGCACTTCTGAGCGCCCGCTACGACCATGCAGTCTTCCAGCCGCTCAGCACCGTCGTTCAGCAGGCTTTCCAGAACCTGTGACAAAGTGCCTGCCTGTGGCTGTCGCCCCGCCATGCGCAGCTCTGTCACCTCCATGCGAACATTTGACTGCGCAGCGAAGCTTTCCACAATGGCAGAAATTGCCTCGCCCCCTGCCAGCGGTGCTGCGGCCACTGCATCATACACTGGCGCTGCAGGCAGCCACTTGAAAGCTTGGAGACAATTACAGAAGTCGCGAGTCACCTTGGCTTCGTCATCAAAAAGCAGCATGGCCATGGTGCTGGTTTCTGGTCTCCTCTTGCCGGCCGCTACGGCAGCCTCAAGAACAGCTGCGTTCTGTTGACACAAAGCCTTTCGGAGTGTGAAGCTTTCATACGCAAGACCTTCTAGGATTGGCAACACTCCCAAGGCATCCTTGCCATCGAGAGGGTGCGCAAACCCAAACGTAGCCTTCTGAAGAAGTGTTTTGGCATCTGCAAGGCTGGGCAAGTCAAAGTAGCGCTGGACGGCCTCACGCCACTGTGCCTTGTGCGTCTTGTACTTCTCAAGCAGGCAAGCGCAAACACCCAACTCTTCAGCTCTTTCAAGCATGAAGTGCACAACTGCTGTGGGCTGGTCAAACTCATAGCTCCCAGCTGGGAACAAGGCAGCGCGAGCAGCTCTAGACAAATTTGGAGGGCTAAGTGCTGGGAAGTAGTAACGGCCTAAGGGCTGCCCAGCCACAACTTTCTGCACTCCACGGTGGCGCATGAACATGCCACACTCATCTCTCTCAACATGGCTGGAAATAAGCCGCATGTACTCTGCCACCTGCTGTGGTCGAGAGTCTTTGCCTTCAGCAACATACTTCTCGAACGACTCCACATCCACTCGGAACATAAAGTCCCAGTGCGGGCCATCTGCAAAACCATGCTCCTCGCACTCATTCACCTCGTCCCCCGCACGCTCCCCGGTGGGCTCCGAAGGCCAGGTCCAATCTTTCCAGGTGCCAAAGACGCCTGCCATGTCGCAGTCAGACACCTCGGGTCAATGATCAGTCTGCGAGACACATGAAGCCATTAAGCGCCAACACTCACGATGCCCTTCCGAATCAACACCCCCGCGCAACAACCTGCCTCTTCCAGAACAGCCATCATCTTCCCTACATCCACGGGCCGGCGAAGAAACTTCACACTGCCTCTGCGATCTTCTGGGGCCCGTCGTAGCAGATAGGGAAACTCCGCAATTGCATCCTGTAGGAACTCTGCACGGCTTCTGTGCTTCGATGACTTGCTGCCATCTCCGCCGGGGTTGGCCTGCACGTGGCTGCATCTGTTCACCGAGTGGGCTGTCAGCGCAGAAGAGGTCAAGGCGGCGTGCGTTTCCTGCACTATCCGGACGGCGCGAGACTCAGCTCGCTCTTCCAGGCCGGCCCCAAGAGGCGCTGGAGCATCACCAGGCGCGTCAGGATGTGCTGCGGTGGTCACGCGGGCCATCTTCTGCAAGAGCCAAGCAGTGTCCTTCTCCGTCTGCGAACCCGGCTTGACGTAGTCGAGAACCCTGTACCACTGGCGTGGGCCACTCTGCCGCATGTACTTGAACAAGAAGTCTTGGAAGAAGGACCAGACAGCATCGCCTGAAGACATGAAGCCCTTTGCGTCTTCGTCGGCCAAGAACTTCTTGGAGGCCACATCCACAGACTCCACCTGCGTTGTCATGCTGGCGCGCATGAAGACGCCTCGAAACCGGCGGGAATGCGACCTCTCCAATGCCGTTGGAATGGCAGGCACATCGCCCAAGTTCATGCACCAGTTCTTGCCGCAGTAGGCATAGGAGCCATCCTTGGTTTCAGCCTCATGGTTCCGCCGCAGAGGCAAGATGCCGTTGCCAATGAACAACTTCACAACGTCCTCAACAATACCCTGGTCTCGACGGCACTCGTCAAATGTCAGCATGGCGCAATGCAAGTATTTCAGCCCCTGTTGCTGAAACTCCCGCTCAACTTGGAGCATAGTGCCCGGAGGATTGCCAAATCCACTTCCCCAGCACGCTGCCATGAGATCGACCAGGATCAGGCTCTTGCCTTCCATGCCTGCGCCAAAAAAAGACGTTCATGACGTCCGGCTGGCGCATCCCGGAAAGAGCAAGAGCACTCTGCGCAAGGAGCCTCTCCAAGCCATCACCGCCAGAGAAAGACGCCAGAAGCATAGAGGCCAGCCGGCGCCGACTCACGTCTGATGGCCTGAACACGATTTGGTGCGAGACCTGCACGTAGCACCCGTGCCGCGGATCCTTTCGGAGCTGCTTGATGTCACCATCTGCCGTGGAGATGTAAGCATCCTGGAACGCAACACCCGGCTGCTTGCAGGCGTCGTAGCTGCTCTCCGCCCAGCGGTGGAAATTCTTCACCATGTTCTTGTTGTGCTCGCTAAACTGGCGCCGAAGATCTCGACAGAGTTCACTCAAGCCGTAGAACCACAACTTGGCCTTCATCTCAGCTTTACGCCCAAGCAGATCAGTCATCTGCCACTCAAGGAGCGTTTGCTCCTCGCCTGTGCTCAGTATGACACGCACCTCAAAGATCGCATTCTCGAGCTTGCGCGCTGGCGGGTCCTATGCTCGTCCCCAAATGGAGAGAGGTGTCCCCCCGCCCCCTTATTCAATATTTTTTTCTTTAGCAACAAGGGGAACCTTGAGGGACATACCAAAACAGAGGCATTTTAGGGAAGTACCCCTGCACCTTTGTTCAAAAGAAGGGAGGGCTTGGCCGCTTGGCGGTCCTCTAGCTTGCCAAAGACCAAGTAATACGCTTGAGCCCTTCTCAGCGCGCCGAGCAAGAAGTCCAAGTGGCAAGATGAAATGGTGTTGTGGAAGGACTGCACAAAGGCGCCGTTCAGGAACTCGAAGAGCTTGCCGGCGTGGGACCGGTACTGTTCGCCAAGAAGAAGAGCGAAGATCTTGGTGTGGAGCAGTTCACTGCGCACATCATCTGGGGATGCGTGCAGCAGCAATAAGGTCACCTGCGCAGCGGCTCGCTGCATGAGAACGTCGTCCTCCAGCACTTTGCCTTTCCAGCCGAAGGCCTCGTCAATCTGGTCCCGAAAAGCATCCATTTCCTCTGCCATTGTCCTGGCGCGCCTAGCTACATCTTTGGTGAAGGCCAGCTCGCTTACGCTCGCTTGAGGACCACACTCAAAGCCAGCAGGAGCCCATGTCTCCAAGATCTCGTCCAAGTTGCGCAGCCCTCCTCTGGAGCTACTGGCAAGGGCGCCAGAAGGAAGAGGCTGCGCAGCTGTGCTGTTCGGCACGCGAGCCTGGCGGCTGTCTGAAAATAATTCCTTCCCCCGGAAACGCAATCTTCGCGGAACAAAAAAGTAACTTTCGCGGCCTTCATCACGAGTACAATTCCGCAGTGAGGCTTGGAAGCGCCAACTGTTCAGAACGAAAGTTGTACAAAGTAAATTTCTGGCGCCCCAGCTCGAAAGTCGCAACTTTTCAGTTCCAAAGTAGTACGCGAAGTGCACTTCCGCAGCCCCAGCTCGAAAGCCGTGCAGCAGCACAGGAGGGAACCCATGGCGCTGAGGGTTTCCTGCATTTTTTGGCGGCAATCCTCTGGCCGCGCTTTCCTCCGACTAGCTTTGCGCATTCTGCGCAATCTGACGGCAAATGCATATAGCTCATCATTATCTTCCTTTTAGCAAACTGCCCTTAGGCAAATAGGCAAAACTTTCGAAAGAAAAATGGCAACTTTCGCGAAGCTTTCGCGGATGGCAGTAATACGACCAAAAAAAGTCTTCCCCTTCCTAATTTCCTGAATGTTAGGACCTTTCGGACGACTCCCACCTGCGAAGCCGGCGCTGTCTCCAACTCAGCAAAGCTGCGAGCCAGCACCTGAGGGTCTTCCAGCGCTGCCAGCCGGCGAGCCGAGTACAGGCGCAGCCAGGCTTGCAGCGGCGCGTCCTCCTGCGCCTCCATGACTCCAGGCGTGCTTCCTTGAGCCGCAACTTACGCAGAGATCGTTCCTAAACCGCAAGTCACTCAATCGCTGAGCGCCAGCCCCTGGCAACAATCCTGCGAGATCATGATACGAGTAAAGCCGGCAGAGCCTTAGGCAATAGGGGCGCTTGCTTTTGCTTTGGCACTGGGCCTCATTGAAATTGTCATGGAAACCTTCTGCTTGCTTGTCACACTTCACTTGCGCTTGCGCATTTGTATCCGAATTTCTGTTGCGCTATCATCTGTTAATCAGGCTGTCTCATCTGTTGGGCCATCTATCTGTCAAGCAAGCTACCTGTGGAAGTCTCTGCCTGAAGCTGCCTGTCTGTTCAGCTGTCTGTCTGTCAAGCTACCAGCTACCTGTCCAGCTATGTATTGGTTTTGTTATCTATCTGTCAAGCTGTCTGTCTCTGAAGCTAACTGTTTCTCTCGCTATCTTGCCTGACCTCGGGAAAATGCTGCGCGTGCCTTCTGCCGGCGCGAAGTGCACCCCGCTATACACGCGCACTTCCCCGACCCTGGTGGCAGCACCGACCTCGCTGTCCACCAGCCAACGTCTGATCCAACACTTCACAACTCTGTGTTGCCCCGCCGGCGCGAAGCACACCCCGCTACGCATGTGCGCCTCCCCGACTCTGGCGGCAGCAACGACCCCGCTGCGTGCCAGCCAGCAACGATGGCAAAAGCTACCTGTCTGTCCATCTATCTGTCAAGCTACCAGCTACCTGTCAAGCTGTCTATCTGTCAAGCTACCTATCTGTGAAGCTGTCTGCCTGTGAAGCGAATTTGTTGCCCTCGCTATCTTACCTGACCTTGCGAAAGTGCTGCACGTGCCTTCTGCCGGCGCGAAGTGCAGTCCGCTACACACGCGCGCTTCCCCGACCCTGGTGAAGCGCACTTACCAGTAAGGTCCGGCAGAGCCGGGGGGGAATTTTCAAATATATAAACGATAGTTGTCTTTATCTTTCTTTTCTTATTTTGTTTTTTCTTCTTACGTATTTCTTTCCTTCTTTCTTTTAATGGTGTATTTTCTTTCCATCTTTCTTGCTTTCTCTTTTGTTTGTTTTTCTCATTTCGTTCTTTCTTTCTTGCTTCCTTCCTTCCTTCCTTCCTTCCTTCCTTTCCTTTCTTCCTTTCCTCTCCTTTCCTTCTCTTTCCTTTCCTTTTATGTCCTTTCCTTTGCTTCCTTTTCTGTGTTGTTCTTTCTTTCTTTTCTTTCATTCTTTCTTATTCTTTCGATCTCTCTAACTATCTACTTATTATCTGTCTCCTACATATCTATACATATCTATCTCTCCACCTGTCATTCTAGCTTTCTCTTAATCTATCTATCGATCTCTCTCTCTCTCTCTCTCTCTCTCTCTCTCTCTCTCTCTCTCTCTCTCTCTCTCTCTCTCTCTCCTGTCAAATATCATGCTGTACTACTTGTCCCTTGTACATGCATAATGTACACTACTCGACCGCAGGCCTTGAGTCTACAAGCAAAAGAGCGCATGCTGGGAAACTACATTTGTGTTTGTGACAGCATAAACAACACTTGCACTTGTAGTAAAGTAACGACGTATTTTAACGTGGTAGCGGAGCTGAGATCCTAAACATAAGGGAGCTCCAGAAACAGCAGTAAGTACTACAACTGCACAGGCAACCACATGCCCAACTACTACGACATGTCAGGAGAACCAGCAGCAGCATCAGCACAACCAACTACAGGAGCAGACAACGGGCCCACAGCAAAGGAGACAATAGGAGCCACAACTACGGGAACAACACAGGAGCAGGAAGACGTCCAAAGGCTACACAAATACAAACTGCCACCACCGTTCTTCACTGGTGACTACTCACAGTACGAAGAGTGGCTGTTCAAACTACAAGCATACCTCGGACTCATCGACCGAGACTTCGACATGGTACTACAACTAGCACAAGCAGCTACAAGACAAATTGAGGATGCAGACATCAGAGCCCACATACGCGACCCTACACAGGCAGCAAAAGCAGTAGACCTCTCACGAGATCTACACTACATCCTC